CTTGTTCTTTGGCCTTCCTTGTGGAATTTTCTTGAGCTCATGGGTTGATCCTTTCTTACGTCTAGAGGTTGCGGCAACTTGCACTTTAATCCTTTTTCCCTCACGTTGATACCCATTGTTATTAACTCAACTTGTATTCCAATCACATGTTTCAAAGAAAGAAGCTACTGCCGGGCGAACATGGGTATCTTGTATAGAACGATGCTTCTTGTAAATCTCAACAAATTTACATACACTTTTTTCTAATGCAGGGTCATCTTCTTTAAGAAGATTTTCCAAATCATTACTAAACCAGTGTAATTTATTTATAGCCGACTGATGATCAGTATTACAATTTTTTTCACTTATATCATAATTACTAATATCATCTTCACTATTGCTTAAGAGCACAGAAATAGATTCAGGAAGTTTACTTTCATTATTCATATAATCACAACCATTTTCATAACTAATATTAACCAAATTATTGTTAATTTTTATTATAGATTCTGCTGTTGTGTATACACAATCTTGTTCATATTGTGCTTGATGAAGGTTTGTATAAAAGTTGAGCTCTTTGCATTTCTCACCCAATGCCAGATAAGCATAATAATGTCAACTACTTACTGACATCGTGGGTATCTGGTTCAGACCACAAATATTATAATAGATTGCAATTGAAGACTGATGCTTACATGGAGCCCCTGTCGGGCTACATTCACAAATCCCAAGTCATATATCAACCAGGTACCATATATCTCTATTTTTGCTACTTCTATGTTTAAAAATCATTGAATTGGAATTTACCACTTCAATATCTTCCCTTAATCCAATTTTCCAGCCTGAGAGTTGAAAACGGAGTGAAATAAATCCATCCAGTTTGTTGTGTGCTACAGAAAGTAATTTACGAGTATAGTAAAGATTCATTGTGCTAATAATGAAATGAAAAATTTGTACTATATTAAACGCCTGTATTCGCCCAAAAACAATATCCTTAATTATTCGAATCCCTGCTTCTGCAAAATTATTCGTGTTATTGTTTCGAATTGGTAGGTTTTGACGAAATACAATAGCCCACTCTTTGCGTCTATTCCATGCAACTTCAAAATACTTTTGAAATTGTGAATATTTAAGGTATGCCTTATTTGTTACAAGTGCCATATATTCTTTCTCTAATAT